CACGTCACACGCTAAGGGATTTCCCTTGTGCCAATAAAAAATGTGCCAAACCATTCTGTACATCGCATCATGTGGTAATCTGAAAATTAAAGAGGGTGTGACTATCTTTAAAAAATTGAAAAGTCCGAAACAGGTAGAGGTATCATGTTGGAATTATTTGTTACAACACTAACATGATGTTAATGTATTTCACTTTGAATATAAATAAATATATATGATGAAAATGGTTGTTTTAGGTCCCATGAAAATCAAAGGTTGAATCATTTGGATTGGCAACTAATAATTGGATTGCGAAAGTTTATGCAAAAAGATTCAAATGGGCTGAAGCATACTCGCAGAGGATATTTTTTACTGGACTAGCAAGCATGCAACGGTCTGAAAGTATGAATGCATACCTAAATCATATCCTAAAAACACGCCAAAGACTGTTCGTTAGGCAGTACGATAGGGGCTTGACAAGAATCAAAGACACCGAGGCAAATGCAGACTATGAGTCGGAACACTCCGAGCCAGTGCTCACAACAACAGTGAAATGCTTAGAGGAGAAAGCCTCCAAGATACATACCAGACAAATGTTCTTCAAAGTTCGTGATCAATTGAAGGATAAAACCCCATTTTTTGAAGTGGATAAAATTGAGAATGTAACGTAACGAAGTTATTACTTGTCCCGCAATCTGAATCTAGATGGATTGTTCAATACTATCCTGGCATTCATACATTTAAATGTAATTGATTGAAATTTGATTCTGTTGGGATTCCCTACTCTCACATGATCGTTGTCATGAAGTGTGAGCACCTCAAAGAGTTTCTTCATAGTAGTGTGATGAAAAGGAGGACAATTATAACAAAATCCGATTATCAAACAAATGATGTGTTGCATACATTGAGCACCCCATCGATTTCTACAAGATATGCTGAACTCATGTCTATGTGCCACCAAAGGCCCATCACGAGCCAGTTGCCAAAGGTTATGATGAGTCTCAAATATCTCATTTCAATATCAATATGCAAAATAAAAAATTTGGCGTGGGTGACCCAAAAATTGTAAATATTAAGAGAAATCTAGGACGGTTGCGTAATAACTTTTCAGTTACCCCACGAATGGGCAGTAAATGTAAGGGTATCAGACATACTGTTAGAAAATGTCCATTACTTACGCCCCATTTGAATGATCCATATGACAACATGCCGTTTTCACAACCAGCTGAATTGCACCAACCACACAAGTCTCTTGTATTTTCCTCATGCATCACAACAACCATCGCTCGAGATGCCTTTCTCATAGGCTGGTGGATCACAATAACCTTTGCCAACATATGAAAATGAAGATCATTTGACTTCTTTTTGAATTACAAAAGTATGTCTGGAAATAATATGTCACCATCATTATCTAATCATTAATTTATGAACTCCCCTATTATTAATTTACCAATATCATGGAGCACAATGGGAGCATTACATTCTCTCTTTATGAGCTCCCCTGCTCAACATGTTGTCTGCATCAAGGTACCAATATTATGGAGCACAATGGTACAATGACATTCTCTCTTTTATGAGCTCCTCTACTCAACATGTCTGCATCAAGGATAACAATATCATGTAGACATTCTCTCTTTATGAGCTTTCCTACGCAACAAATTGTGCGCATCAACATGCATCAACAAAACAACTGTATTGTGTATTCCTAGCATTATATTATTGATATAACATCACCAAACATCATGACATCCACTTTAAATTTACATAACATCAACAAATCACCATGACATCCACTTTTCATTTGCATACCATCAACAAAAAATACTATGACATCTACTTTGAATTTACATAGTATCAACAAAATTACATATTAAAATTTACAATCCAACAACTAAAATTTTATCTATAATCCAACAACTACATTTAAGTACTACTCAATTTTTTTTTCCAGCAACAACTTAATCTCGAGCTGCTTGAGAGACTCTTTGGTGTCTTCATGGAACTGCTTGAGAGACTCCTTTGTGTCTTCATCAAGCTGCTTGGGAGACTCTTTTGTGCAAATTTGCTTGAGAGACTCATTCATTTCTTGTTGACACTCCATTTCTTTTTGTCACTCCTCTTGGTTTGCCAAAATCTTTTTTAGCATTTGTCCAACCATATTGTTATCTCCTGCAAAAGTACTTGGGGCATCTCTATCTGGTGGATCTGGATTATATGAATTAATTTGCCCCAAATTCTTTTTTAATGTGCATTCATCAAATGGAATCATAGGAGACTTATAAGTGTCGGTTGAGTGAATCAAAACTTCACAATACATCATGATCTTTGAAATTAAGATGGGGAATGAGAGACTTTTTTCCTTATCTTCGAGCCCAAATGCCAAAATAATTTCATTAAATTTTGGATAAAATATATTTTTAGTCTCCAAAAGGAATAAAATGATACAAGTTATAAATTTGACAAACCAAAGTGATTCATCAAATGTGGTCACTTAATCATTTCCATTAGTCAATTCAAACGACCGTTTTTTAGTGTACCAAAATGACACAAATTGAAAAATTGAGGGATTAAATTGACACAATTAAAAGATTGACAACTAAACTGACACAAAACACATAGTTTGGGGACCAAAAATATAATTCACCCTTAATTTTTTTTTTCATTTCTATTTAAAAGGGAATACCAAATATCTATTAATTTCTAAATTCAAACGTCAAGTAGTCTTGCAATGCAATGATACCACTCTGGTATCCTCTTGACTATATAAATTTCATAGCAGTCTGTTTTTGAAGGATTCCATCAGTTTTTGACTGGCAACAAAATTTGATTTAATAATGTAACTATAACACACGGTTATTAGATAGAGCAATACTATAGGGACTTTATTTGTGAACCTAATCTGAAGATTTAATAATGTAATTTTAATGTAATCATTAGATTAGTTGTGAGTTTCAATATTAGATGAAGCCCACAACCAATCTAATAGTTGTACATTATTAGGTCTCTAAAGTAAGTCATCAAATTAGGTCCAAATAACATTTTCCTATTAGAATTCAATAAATCATTAACTATCCACGATTTAGGTACATTGATCTCATATGGGATGAGTTTTCGATTTAAGTTATCAAAATATTTGACATAAAATTTTAATACTAACCTTAAATCGATTCATTTTAAAACATGTAACACAAATATAAAATATATATTCATTAAATACGTGAATATAGATTGATGATTATATATTAATTATTTCAGATAATCAAACATAAATTAAGATAAATAGTAACTAAATTGATGTCTATGAATATTCTATGATATATAATATTGTATAATAATTAAAATGATATAGAGAAGAGTTTTCAAACAAATTACAATCTAGTATATCCTATCAATTATTCTTATTTTGTTAAAATAATATCGTACCCCATATTCATATTGAGAGTGAGAGAGAGAGAGAGAGAGAGAGATTCGTTTTTTGAGGGAGTCAGGTTTCCGTACGTTTGTTTCACTTTGTACTGTACGGAGTCTCCCTTTCACGTAACCACAAAATCTCGTTCAGGGAAATCATGCACTTTTAACTTTTGTTAAGCTAAATTTCACTGACATAGTTTTGATTTATGTCATATTTCATTAAATAACTCCTCTATTTTTTGAAATATCACTGATTATATACTCCTGTGAATTTTTATCAAATCCCCATTTTACAGGGGTGCTATTTGAATTTATCCTTACATAATTACTCTTATATTTGATTTCACATAATTACCCTTACCAAAACATACATAATACCATTATTAACACAATTACATTAAATTAATACAAAATTAATATTCAATTAACGTTTAGTTTAATAAATTAACATTGATTCTACAATGTATTTGGCTAACGAATAAAAACTTTGGCTCACTTTCATTGGTCTAGTGCGGTTTTGCAATTCTAGATACAAGATAATAAATTTGTCAATGGGCTGGATAAAAGTTCATTCTTAAACAATCTCTCTCACATCTCATACTAGATAAAAAAAATTCACGAATCTAAAAAATTGAGCTTTGGGGCGGTAATAAATTTTTTTTAAAAGTTTTAAATATATATTTGAGTTTATCGATTAGAGTGTTCTATATTAAATCAAGTTTTTTACTTAGTTAAAGAAGCTCTAATAATGTTATTGAAATCTAATTTATCGACTTAATTAAACATAATAATTGAAAATTAATTAGGAGTGACAAGGTCCATTAGAATACCGGTTAAACTTCTCATTATAAAGTTAGAAGTTTGAATCTTAGAATCAACATTGAAATTTGGTAATTGATGTCGTTATGCTCGTTTAGTTAGGTTCGCTGCAGATAGGAGTAAATGGAGTGACGTTTTTAACTAAGAACGTCAATCTGTTTGACGTGTTTAAGTTGAATGTGTGCCACAGTCTTTGGGTTAAAAATATCAAATGAACTGACGTTTTTAAAAATGACCGAGTTTGAGAATTATTTTCAAACCAACTCCTAGTTGAGACTTTTTAAAAAAAACACTTCTACGTGGTAAATGCAATAATGAAAAAAAAAATGCTACACTGACTAAATTTTGGGATCAAATTTAAAGTTCAAATGACATGACACAAATAAAAGAAACCCAAGTCAACTGTCATGTCATTTGGACTCCAAATTTAGTTCAAAAATTTGGTGAATCTAAAAAAAGAGCAATGCTATTGAGACATAATTTATGAACATAATTTGAGGACATAATAAGTTGTCATCAATGATATGATAATAAATTTATTTAATACTACAATAAGACCCATTATTAAATACATTTTACTATCATTTCATTAATAACAACTCATTATATTTTCAAATTATATCTTTCAATTATATCCCAAGAGCATTAGCGAAAAAAAAACACAACTAACAACTTTCTCGGTGAGAGACTTATTCTACCAACAGAACTCCTACAAATAAGCAATTACTTTATTAGTTTGTGTATAAATACAGGCTCTTTGGGGCCATGGTGGTGACATTAAAAAATTGGCCATGGCTTCTCTTCCCACCGCCGGTACTGCCACCGTCTACTCTCCCTTTTTCTTCAACACCCCATCCACCTTCTCACTCTCACCCTGCCAATTTTTCCCCAAGACACCACGATTTCTCTCACATGAAAAGCCAAAACGTCGCACAGTAGTATCATGTAAAGCCATCGGTGGGGACCAAAACCCCACCACTAACCCTCAAAACGGAGAAACTTCTCCGGGAAAGTTTGACCGGAGAAATGTGCTTCTTGGGTTAGGGGGTCTCTACAGTGCCTCCAACCTTGTCATTCCACCGTTAACATTTGCAAATCCGGTATCCGTGCCGGATCTATCAAGCTGCAGCGACGCAAGCTTACCCGCCGGTGTTACTCCGACGAACTGTTGCCCCCCGTCGGCAACCAAAGTGATTGATTTCGAGCTTCCTTCCTCGCCTGTGATGCGAACTAGACCGGCGGCTCATTTGGTAGACAAAGAGTACATTGCCAAGTACTCCAAAGCCATTGAACTCATGAAAGCCCTTCCTGAAGATGACCCACGTAATTTCATGCAACAAGCTAATGTCCATTGTGCTTACTGTGACAGTGCTTATGAACAAGAAGGCTTTCCAGAAGAGAAAGTTGATGTCCATTTCTCATGGATTTTCTTTCCCTTCCATCGATTCTACCTCTATTTCTTCGAGAAAATATTGGGAAAATTAATCAATGACCCAACTTTTGCTCTGCCATTTTGGAACTATGACAGTCCTGATGGTATGACAATACCCACCATGTTTACTGATACTAACTCTTCTCTCTATGACCCTCTTCGTGACGCCTTACACCAGCCGCCGACGATTATGGATCTGAATTACTTCGGCCCCTCCACCGAGACTACTCAAAATGATCAGCAACAGATTTCCTACAACCTCACGACGATGTATAAGCAAATGGTTTCGTGCAGCAAGAATGCTGAACTTTTCTTTGGACAAGCTTACCGTGCCGGCGACGATCAGCCTAACGGTGCCGGAGCTATCGAGAACATACCTCACACTCCGGTACACATATGGACTGGAGATAGAAACCAGCCTAACGGAGAGAATATGGGTAGATTCTACTCAGCAGGGAGAGACCCAATTTTCTATTGTCACCATGCAAATGTTGATCGGTTGTGGAACATATGGAAAACCCTAGGAGGAAAACGTCGAGACCCGACAGATAAAGATTGGTTGAATGCTTCATTCGTGTTCTACAATGAGAATGCTCAGTTGGTACGTGTGAAAATCAAAGACTCTGTGGACACCACGAAGCTCGGATACACGTATCAAGATGTGCCAATTCAATGGCAGAAAGCTAAGCCAACGCCGAGGAATACAAAAGTTGCCGGAAAGTTAAGCAAGGCAGGAGTGGCCATTGCTCCTGAAATTCCTCCGGCGAGTGAGGTTTTCCCGACGGTGTTGGACAGAGTGGTGAAAGCCATGGTGAAAAGGCCGAAGAAGAAGAGGAGTAAGAAAGACAAAGAAGAAGAAGAGGAAGTGTTGGTGGTGGATGGGATAGAATTGGAGAAAGATGTGTATTCAAAGTTTGATGTTTTCATAAACGATGACGAGGAGAGCGAGTGTAGTCCGGACAAGACTGAGTTCGCCGGAAGTTTCGCTCACATTCCGATGAAACTTGCCCCGGGGAAGAAGAGAAATCTTAGCCTGAGGTTTGGGATAACTGAGCTGTTGGAGGATTTGGGAGTAGAGGATGATGACAGTTTGCTGGTGACTTTGTTACCAAAAGCTGCCACTGGTCTTGTCACCATTGGTGGTGTTAAGATTGAGTTCAGTGCCTGAATCAATTCTCTTCATCAAAATAAAGTCTCTCTAATTACGTTTCTTGGAGAATTTTCAATAAGTTATGTTCATCGGATTTTTATATCCAATCACTTTGTCTATCATCTATTTCATCTTTTTAGCTTTTTGTTGTGAAATAATAAACTTCCACGATGACTGGAGTTTTAGGGTTCATGTTCAAAGAACATATTTTCATGTCTTCGTTTGGTTTGACAATCTGTACCAATGGTTCCTTCCGAAGATCAAATTTTATGAACCAGTAAAATTGTTTGAATAAACAAAAGTTACGTGGAGGGCTAAAACTACATGTCAATTTTTGGAGTTGCATGAGAATTCTATTTAATTACAATTATTAATTGCAATATAAATCTCAATATTTATTGGACTCGTTACAATGATTGTGATTATCATTTTCAAGTCTATTTTTTATGTTTATGTAGTATTACTTTTCTATTTTTGTTGTTTTTTTTCCAACAGTCTGGGTTGTTCAAAACAAACTTATACGTATTTCGACTAATTCTCTTTTTGGTCCGATCAAAGTTAAGGATTTTTTTGCCATGACTAATGTGCTCACCCTAAGGAATTTTTCTGCCACTGCCAGTATTGGTGAGTTAATATTCAATGGTACTCATTTTTTGTTAAGGTTTTACCTTTTTAAAATCAAGAGTTCAAGTCTCTCCCCTTCCTTACAAAAAATAAAAAGTTAATATATTCTTAATTGGCTTCTAAATGTTGGGCCTCAAGGAGTACCACAACTTTGTGAGCATGTAGTAGCCTGCCAAAAGATTTTGTGAGGTGAGAAGGTGTTATAGCTTCAAGTGTTGCATTCCACATTGACTTGGGAGGGAAAGTGACTGGCTATATATGTGGTGTGCTCATCCTTGATTGTCAAAGGAACAAAACCTTGAGGATATATGGGCCCCCGAAGAGGTTCATATCTTGACAATTGAGACAGATCGTTACAAAACGGAGCAAGCACCTACACAAATTTGGTTACCATACACACGCACCGCCTACCCAGCCTCCTCTTCTCGCCACGACCCACTCAAGCTCAGCCCTTGGGTCAATATGATCATATCTTTTTATTGAAATTTTATTTGGTATGGTACAGATTGTAGGTCAAACCAAACAAATCTATATCACACTTATTCTGTCAACTGAATATCCGTTATTTTTTAATTTGATGTCATTTTAATTGTGTTTGTTCACACTCTATAAATGGCTTTTCCTTTTATTACTATTCGATTAACAGTGTCTTTTTAGTCTAAACATACACAATGAACAGTAGTTTCTCTTCAATCTAAACAGACCCAAAAGAGTCTATAAAAGGACTCCCTTGAAATCATATTCAGAAATCGAAAATTCATTCATTTTACATTTGTTTTTCTTGTCTCTTTACATTATTATTTTGTTCGGTTCAAGTATAAACACTAGTTGTATTTGTTGGTTTTTGGAGATTGAAGTGCTACTTTTTCAAAAATAAAATTTGTTATATCTTTAGAGACAGTTACTTATCAACTTTCAACACTAAAACAGAGTAAATCTGTTTTAAGAAAACTATGGTTTCACAAGACTGGGGTTTTTATTATTTTTGTTATTATTGTACTTCTACATTCCTATAATTGCATCATTTCTGTTTTCTTTATTTATTCTATTTTGTATAATTATTTTTGCATATAACAGTATACATAGTGATTGAGATTTTTTACATTAATTTTATCTAATTCTGATTCTATATCTATTACAATCATAAGACATATTTTGTTTATTTTATTATTTGATTAATTACTATTCTAATTTAAATCAAAATTCTGTATTTTGTTGTATTACTGCATTAGTTTGTTAAACCAGAATGTTATCTGGTTACTGTTGGGTAAAAGAATGACTACAAATAATTCTATTCCTATAATTATTGTTCCTACTACTTTAAGTATGTCTCATAAAGAGCCCGAAAAAATTAATGCTTCGAATTTCAAAACTTTGACAATAAAAGATACTTTTGTATCTCACCACCTTGAACCTTGCAAATTTTCTAACTTGAGCTAATTTAAGGATATGTATCCTGCAGAACAATTGTGGTTGGCTCTTGGAAGCCATGAGAAATATTGAATTTGAGAGCTCTTGCTTGAAAGAGAACAAATTTGAGCACTGAATCACCCCTAAAGATCGATGTCAACCACAATTAATTCAAAAGATACAGTAAATTTAATCCACAAATTATATCTCAATGAATTAAATTCAGATAACATTACCCAAATTCTATATGTGGCCACCATTTCTTTAGGAGTAATGTTATAGAAACCTTATTTGGGGGCTTTATTTAGAGACCTAATGATGTGGCTTCAAATATAATCATTGGATTAGCTGTAAGTTATAATGTTAGATGGAGCTCACAATCAATCTAATGATTGTATATCATTAGGTCCCTAAATAAGATTTTCCTTTATGTGATTGTCTTCATCAATTCTATTCGTGAAGCATTTTCAAGGGTTTGTAACGACAAATTTTCGTGAAATGAATTAACACAAAATAAGGTCAACTTACAATAGTCAATTTGATTGACTTTAAGTAAAGAATGTAGTGTTAATTCTCTTTGACGTACTTTGCACGTGCACTGTCCTCTGATTCTCGATAAATTTGATGAAATTGATGAATTTGGTGAAAATGAGGGCCAAATTCGCGTATTTCTCACTCTTCAATGGGTGACTTTGATGAAAACGAGAGTTGGATCAATGTATCTCCTACTCTTCAATTTGATGATATTTTTAATGAATCTCCTCACCGTTCTTCGTTTGAAATGGTTTGAAGATGATTTGGATTCTTTAAAAAGGACCTTGGCAGTGTTCTTTTTCTTGGAGATGAACTTACAAGGTTTTAAAGCTTTAGTGAACTTCAAGCAGAACTTTGCCGATCTTCCTTTCTCCTTTACTTCTTCTCCTCCCTTCCTCCCTTTTTTTGGCCTACCCAAGACCTCTATTTATAGTGATAGGAGTAATTATCCATATAAAGGTATTTTACCTGAATACTTTTATGTGGACTTTAGGTAATGGGCTACCCATAAATTTGTGGATTTTAGTTAATTTATGAAATTTAAGTCTAACTTTTTAAATGTTTGTTTAATTTGGGCTTATGGAATTTAAGTCCATTTAATTTAGCAAGCCTTGTTAATTATATTTTAGCTTCTATTATTTGGGCTGTAGAATTTAGGTCCAACTCAAGCTTGTTTAATTACATTTAGACTTATATCATTTGGACTTTTGAAATTTAGTTTCAACCCAATTTTATTTGTCTAATGGATTTGAGCCTAATTATAGACATTAATTTGTTAATTAAATTTTTAATGTCTACAAATGCCCCCTCGAGACTTATTTACATATTTAATATTTTATAAATATATAAATGGGTCTAAATTTGTATTAAAAGAAATTGATTTAATTTAATTTATACATATATTTTAATTGAAATTATAATTCATGTTGAACCCTAAACAAGATATAGAATTCAACTTAGTTATTGTTTTCTAGTCCTCTGCTGGTATAGAGTCCAATACCATATAGGCTTCATAATTCCATTTTTATTTGAATATATGAGTCCTAAAATATAGACTTCTAACTTAAGTCAGAAATCTTTTTTTACTAAAACACATGGACCTAAAATATAGACTTTTAATCCATCTATGATTAGGATAACAAATCTTTATTTTTACTTAAATACATATAACTAGAATGTCTATATATATGAAGCTATGTGTGCTCAAAATTTTATGTTCAGCAAGATAGTCCACGAGTTTGAACTTTGAATTAAGTTTATAAGGTATGACTTTTACCCCTTGTTTTTGTGTTATTTTAATAAATATATATTACGTTTGGCTTTGTTTGCAGTAGACATCTAAGTTTGACTTTAGCTTTGAGTTAAATCACTTTTGGCTTGCCCTTGTGATTTCAATCCTTTTTTTTTTTTGGTGCTAATTATACATTGCATAAACAGAGACCCGTTTTCTCCCCTTTGTTTTTTTTTTAGTTAACATGCCTCAACAGAGCTAGTCTCGTACAACTCTTGTTTGAATATTACTGCTTTGACTTCTTTACTTAATGGGACAAACTTTTTTGTGTAGTTGTACCATATTTGTGTCTATTACCATTATTTTGGTGACATCTTTGACACAACTTTATTTATTTATTTTTATGCTCAAAATCCTTTTTGTCACTACCTTACTTAATTTAACACTAGATTTTATTTTTTATATTATTATTATTATTATTATTATTTGGTGATATTGGTTGGGTGATTTTAATGATATACTATTTTGAATGGTTGTTTCTATTAAGATATTTTTTTTTAAGAGGTTAATGTTAGCGGTAATTTGTTACAAGAATTTGATTAGGTGATAAAATTGTAAATATTATATACTATTGAAATAGTACATATATTAATTGTTTTCTTTCCTAGTTGATGAACCCAATTAATCAAGTTACATGATTCCACCTTAAATTTGATAACAACAAGTAGCAGGCCATTCCAATTTTGTTTTGTGTAACCTATTGCAAAATATTCGTCTTTTTATTGTTTATAGTATAGTTTTTTTTTTATTTTAGAACTTGTGGTATTATTTTTTTATGGCAGATTTGTTTTAGATCGTTTGTACCCTCCTTTTTTTATTTATTTGATTATAATTGTTGCTTTGTAAATTTGACATTCATGACAACAAAACCACATTGTTCCCTAACGACTATCCATAAAATTTTAATTTGTAATTACTCTTTTTTTTTTATATATATCTTGGCAATTTTTCACATATGTCAACTCAAGTCATTCTAATAAAAAGGTTTGATTTGTGTATGTATATGTATATGTGTGTGTGTGTGTGTGCGTGTGTATATATATATATATATTATCTTATTCTTAGTCATAACTTGTTTCTTAATTTTTTTTTTGGAACAAGTCATGATTTCTTAACAATAATTCGTGTCTTGTAATTTGTTGGGATAATAACCTCTTTTTTTTTAAAAAAAAAATTAGTCTTAAATATCTTTATCCAAAAATTTGTGTCATGTAACATTTGACCTAAGAATTTTATCTTACTAACTTGATTTTAGGTGATCCTTTTTTCTTTTTCTTTTTTTTAAAATAATAATAATAATAATAATAATAATAATAATAATAATAAATGAATGAATAAATTTTATTCCACGGGATTTTTTCCTTTGGGTTAACTTTATTCAAAGAGTATTAATTTTAATTTTAATTAGCTTTTTCTTATGAAATTTAGATGACATCCGCTCTAACAGTTTATAATTTTTGTGTTAATTATAAGTTGCTTATGTTACAAGAGTTTAATTTTATTTTTTATTATTATTAATTTTCTTTTGACCACCTTAAGTGATTTTTGTGTTGACTTAGGTGAGTTTTGTGACAATTTTAGGTGACTTTCCATGGCATCCCTAAGTGACTTCTGTAACAATCCTAGGTGACTTATGTAACAACCCAATGTGACTTCCATAACAGCACTAGGTGACTTCTGTAATAGTCTTAGGTAGGGATGTCAATGGACCGAAGCAGGAGCAGAGAGTGTAGTCTTTATCCCCGTACCCGTTTAAAAAAACTCCGTCCATCCCCGGTCCATTTCCGTTAACAGGTATAATTTTCATCCCCATCCCCGTCCGCGGGTAAATTTCTAATCCCCACTCCCCTCGTACAAGCCCAATCCCAAGCCCAAGTCAAGTTGTATAATCCAAAATTCTAAATAAATTTAATATTTTAAATAATCCAACAACATTCTAAATAATCTAACATAATGTAATACAATATAATGTAGATTGCAAAATGTAAAAGCCAAAACAATACAGTATTCTATTTAAAGTGTCATTGGATCACAAAAAGAGAAACAAAATTATTAGAGAGAAAGGAAGAAAGGGAAAATAAAATTGAACTAAGAAAACAATAGCACTACACTTGAAGTTTTCTAGAAGAATTTTTGTTATTACAATTCATATTATAGCCATAAAATCTTAAAAGATGAAAACTTAAAAATTCACTAATTCAATAATTCTCCCCATTTTTTAGTTCACTCTAATAAAAAAACTCATCAAACTTCATTCACAATATTTCTACCAACGATGAAATACAAAACTATCTTATTATCTCTTATCTTTTTTTAGAGCATGATCAATCTAAACTCCTAACAATTTAAATCAGTGAGCATAAATAAAAAAAAGAACAATCAGGAAAAAAAATTGATAAGATTACCACATAGCAATGACACTTATTAGTTTTATTACCATATTTTTAGATTGGTAGTTACAGTAAATATGTTTTTAATTTATATATATATATATATATATATAACGGGTAGCGAGGGCGGAGAGGGGTAAGGATAAGTTCATCCCCGCCTTCATTCCCATACGGGTTTATACGGGTATTCCCGTATACCTCCATCGTCCAATACGTATAATTCATCCCCGGTCCAAACGAGTCGGATTTGGACGAATACCTGTATTCTCCCAGTCCACTGCCATCCCTAGCCTTAGGTGAATTCTGTAAAGATGACTTCTGTAACACCACTAGGTGACTTCTGTAACAGCCTTAGGTGACTTTTGTAGCAGTCCAAAATGACTTCTATAACAGCCCAAGGTGACTTATCTATTCTTGTATTGCTATTATTATTATTATTATTATTTTATTCTCACTTTATTTATAGCATCAAGGTTTATATATATATATATAAAATTATTATTTGCCCTCTTTCTTTTTTTTTTATTATTATTTTTATTATTTTTCAGATGACCTTATCTCAAAAAGCTAAATCGGGAAAAATTATCAAAATTTCAAGTCAAAGAAGGAACTTACCTTCCGATGAGTGGATTGCTGAGTTAGAAGATCCAATTCTAAAAGACAAAGTTTTGTGTTTTCCAATTATTGTGGTAAAAAACTACAGAACCAATGAGCTGTCAACATTATCACTCAAAGTTCTTGAGCCCATGACTGGTCTCTGCAGCCGCTTAAGAATAATCTATGAACCTGAACTTCATATGCCGATGATTAGTGAATATCCTCTGCTAGAGAACATGCACAAAAGTGACATGGTTAAGTCATATCGACTACCCTCACTTTACGCGCCTTCATATCATTCCAAAGATCATCTTATTCCAAAGTCACTTGTTGCTGATCTGATCAACCAAAGGATTGCGAGATAGGGATGTTCATTGAACCCGAGGGGAGATATTCAATATCTGAATGAGTTTTGTGAGTGGTCTCAACAAATTTACTGCAAGTTGTTAGATAAGGGTTTCAACAAACTTGCTTATTCTATGCATGCAGCTTCTTTGGACTACTCTCGACCCAACAGTGTATATTGCGCCCTTTGTAAAGTTTGGTGTCCACAGACAAATACATTTATTACAGGAGCAGGAGAAATTGGAATCTCACTTTGGGAAATGCGACATGTCACCGGTCTTTCAATCCGTAGTGAATATTTTGAAGAAGTTATCCCAAGTTTGACTGAATTGAGAGACTCTGATACTAGTGTTCTTCCTGTGACTTGTCTGCACTTGTTTAAGGCTTTTGTCTTAATTAATAAAAAGAAAAGAGATAATTGTCCCCGTCATTCAGATTGGCTTGATTTTTGGTTCAAGGATGGTGCACATGTTCTGGATCCTAAGAAAAGCAAGACATATAAAGCAGCCATGGCAAATTGCTTTAAAAGGGAAGAAGAACTTTTTACAAAGCGAAGATTGGTGAGACCTATTCAGGCGAAAATACAACCTATGAAGACAAAGGTCAATGGTGATGATCCTTTCATTCTTTAGATCTTGACCTTGATGTCACAACACGTGAAGACTTGAAGATTGTAGCTTATTTAGCTTTATGGCTATGTCACTTTGTATTTCCTTCATCGGATGATGTTATTCGTCCAACTATCTTCAAGACTGCCTCCCGAATGGCTGCTGGAATCACATATAGCTTGGTTCCCCCCTATTGTTGCAAGCATTTGCAGAGGTTTATCTGAGACATGCAACACCCGATATGATCAAAAGAACCTCAGAATGGCTTCATATGCTTTTCCAGGTCATTTCTTTTATGCTTGGGCAGCATTGCATTTCCCTCGGAGAGTTTATGCTGAGGTTGATGAGGAGCTTGATCGTCCTTTGCTTTGATAATTCAAAGGTACACTGAATGCTTATCTTTTTTATAAGGAAGAAGTGAAAGGATTTCGAGATCTTCTGCGTGGAAGTATGAGTTCCAGTGATTTTTGCTGGCAACCAGTTCTGTATTCTGGAAACTGAGGACCTCGTCGTGATGATGGACAAAGATCAGATGAAACCTCTAAATTATTGACAAGTATGCGAGGTGGACACGTCATGTATTGTCGTGGGCCAGCTTGTATTCTTAAGATGTATAACCCACATCGCTTTGCTAGGCATCATGGATTTCATCAAAAATTATCGGGTACTCCCTTACATCCATCAATAATTTCATTTGATGCCTCTTTTTTATATCGGGCGTGGTTGAGTTTAACTAGGATAAACAGTGGGGCAGGATTCCATGTCCTTAATAATTATGCTCGCATTGAGAATCGATATGACAATAGTTATAACAACTGGTGGAAATATGATGTACTCCCACACCTAGATGACATCAATTGTAAAACCTTGTTAGCTAGTGAATCTGAGAATTTCAAATTCAAAGCTCAAGCTAATGGGTCAGGGAAGGGGAAATCCCTTCCTATAGTAGCTAAAACTCCTTCACGTCTTCGAAAATGGGACACTTCAAAGAATTGTTTGAATTCTCAAGAACAACTGGCTCCAAAGATGTTAAAGGTCACAACACCTATTTCAAGATCAGCTAATGTTCGATTTGTTCATCCTTTAAACTTCCCAGAGTCTGCTGAAGTGAGTTCGTCAAATGAATCTGATCATGCACTCTTTTCATCCAGCATGTCTAAGGGTATTTTCAAGAAATAGGATATAGGCTCGAATCGTGGAAGGATTCCAAGCGCAATTATACCAGTTGATAATCTTGGTTCTATTGAGCAGGTAATTCAAGAGAGGTGTCAAACAAGAGCTATAGAAGCTGAGCATAATTTGGCTTGTACCCGGATAGAAGATGGTGCAAATCACACTACTATAAAGTCTCTCACAGGCAGGGTTGACCCATCTTGTGATGCTCTGAATAACTTATCAACTTTTTTAGAATTATCCCCGCGATCCCGCAATAAAGGTACTTGCAAAATTTCGTTACTATTACCATTTTTTTTTATTTCAAACCTATTATCCTTTTTTTTGTTTAGCTTTTCCTCCACTCCCAGATCTTGCCACATTATATTCCATCGTAGGTATTTGCGAAGACCAAAATCTTGACAATGATATCATTGGAGCTTTATTTGATGACAACGATCGGACCATTTCCATTCTTTCCGACAGTGGTGAGATTCTTCCTTTGGTTGATGGAGAACATACCAATCCATGTGAAGGGGAAGTTAATTCTAAAACAAACCCTTCATGTGCTATACAAACAGGGCAAAAAGCTATTAATAATTCTGTTATGAATACTCTTCTTGAGTCATATGGACCTGGTGAAGCATGATCTCCAAGACTAATGCTGATGTTTTCATCTATCTCAGGTATATTTTATTAGCTTGATCTAGTTGTCCTTTCGATTAGTATGCAACTAATCGCATATATTTACTTGTGTCAGATCCTCCTGTTGAAGCAATTACTTCTGAAAGATTGGCAAAGAAAAAAATTCTGACCGGGATGCCCCCATATTTGAAGGGTGAATTTGATTATACCATGAAAAATGGCTTCTCTGGATTGAAGACCTAGTGGACCTCTAAGTCTTCAAGTTTTGAAGATACTCTTAAAAAACTTTTCTATATTGACACAGATTCTTTGGTGAGAAAAATGAATTGTCTTCTTATGAAAATAGATGAGTATCTTTCAAAACGCCAAGAAAACGTCAAAGTTTTAACCTCTGGAGAAAGAGATACAAGGTTGGCGACAATTGATAGCACGATATCAGGAGGACAATTCAAAGTTCTTGGCTTGAGTGAACAACTGTTGAAATCTGAAGTAGAGTTATTGAGTCTTGATGATGAAATCCGGCGACTGCAAGATCGGAGGGCCGAGATAGCATCTAGCATTGACTTCATTCGTGATGAATGACAAAACACTGAAGAGACTATTGTGGTGATGGAGAAAGAACGTGTCAAACTCTAGCAGTCTCATATTCTTAGCGTTGAGGAGATACAGGATATAGATAAGATGCGATCCATGTTAGAGAAAAAATTTGTTTCACTAGCCTCGATCGACTGGGTTGAAAAGTTTTTATGATCTCATAACTTCTCAATTGTAATTCTTTATATATATATATATATATATAGCAAATATGGATGTTTAGATTTGAATTTTTTTTTGCTATTATTTATTGTACTAAAAAACAGATTGATTCTCAAATAACTTAGATATCTCAAAGAAAAAGTTTAAGTTTAAACATAATTTTGAAGAAATTTTTTTTGGTTAAGCCGTACACAGTTTTAACTCAAGCGGGCCAAGAGTAAAAAAGCTTTTTTGTTTGGGTTAATCCGTACACAATTTTAACTCATGTGAGCCAGGAGTAAAAAAGTTTTTTTTTTGGTTAAGCTAAGTAAAAATTTTTTTTTTTTTTAACCCGTACACAGTTTTAACTCATGCAGGCCAAGAGTAACATGCAGTTTAGGCTTGTGCGTAAAGGAGCGCATAAACCTTTATTTTTTGTCAAGCCGTACACAGTTTTACCTCATGCCGGCTAGGAGCAACAAGTTTTTTTTTATTTTTTTTTATAGGTTGGTGTCGTGTACAGTTTTAACTCATGCGGGCCAGAAGTAACATGCACTTTAAACTCGTGCGTAAAGGAGCGTTGCTTGTTTTCAGGCGTAGAAGCGCTCGAAGAATTTCTCATTGATTGGGCTAACCCTCAAACCATCTTTGTCAACAATCTTATATGCGCCGTTGGTGTAGACTTCTTTCACCACATATGGACCATCCCATTTTGGCATGAATTTTCCACCGGTTCAATGCGGAATGACAATGAGTCTTCGAATTGGAAGGACTAAATCTCCTATTTGGAATGGTTGGACACGAACCCTCTTATTAAAGGCTTTGGAAAGTCTGGCTTGATAACATTCTAGGTTTTGTTTTGCATCTACTTTCTTCTCGTCAAGTGCTTTAAGCTCATCTAGACGTAAATGAATATTTTCTTCATTTGTGAGTTCTTCTTGTAAGGTGATCCGCAAGGAGAAAATTTGACGTTCCAAAGGAAGAATAGTTTCAACGCCATACACAAGGGAATATGGAGTAGCTTGTGTTGGAGTTCGGTATGTTTTTCGATATGCCTAGAGAACTTCACCAACCCTTTCATGTCAATCCTTCTTTGATTTGGAGAAAATTTTCTTCAACAAGTTGCACAAGGTTTTATTGAAGGCTTCTGCGGGTCCATTGGCTGGTGTATTGTACATAGATGAATTATGTTGTACAAACCCAAATTTGATGTAGAGCTTGGCCATGAGGCTATTGACAAATAGTTTTCCATTATCAGTGATAATGTAACGAGGTACACCATACCGATATATAATATTTGTTCGAATAAAGTCGACAACATTTTCTTTTTTCACTTCTTTAAGAGGAACTGCTTCCGCCCACTTGGATAAATAATAGGTTATTGCTAAGATGTAAAGATGTCATGCTGATGATTTTGGAGTCAAAGGTCCTACGACATCAAGTTCTCATGCATCAAAAGGCCATGATGCGACTGTAGGATGCAATGGTTCAAGTGGCTGGTGAATAAAGTTAGCATAGAACTGACAAGCTTGACATTTCTTAGCATAACTCATTGAGTCTTGTACCATAATAGGCCAGTAATACCCCATTCTCTTTATGCGAAAATGTAATTTAGGCCCTGATTGATGAGCACCACAAATTCCAGAATGAGCTTCTTCGAGTGCTTGAGCAACTTCATCTTCATCCAAATATCGCAGAAAAATACCATCAAATGAACGATGATAGAGGATGCCTTTATAATAAATAAATCGAGGAGCTCTTCGTCATATCTCGGTTCTATGACGTTGGTCATTTAGTAATTTTCCATACTGTAAATAATCAATCAAATGTTGCCTTCAATCTTCATTTTTAACTTGCACTACTGAAATGATAGTAACTTCCTCCATTTCAGAGAGTAACGGAGGTATTACCCATCTTTGACAAACTGGAACTTAAATTATTTGGTAATAGGGTTTTGTAAGCACGACGACAAGATTGGCAAGAGCATCAGCATATTTGTTTTCACCGCGTGGTACGTTTTCAATGGTGACTCGATCAAACTGACTCGTAAGTTGAGTTGTATAGCGACAGTATGGAATCAAATCTGGTTTGCGAACATCATACAACTCCAAAACCTGATGAACCACTAGCTGCTAGTCTCCATAGATTTCCAACTGAGAGAGCTGCATATCAAGTGCCATTTCTAAGCCAATGACCAAAGCTTGGTACTCCGCCATGTTATTAGAGCAACACTCTATCAAGGTAATTGCGTAAGGCAATACTTCGTTTTCAAGGGTAATGAAGACCACACCTGCACCAGCTCCATACCTTCGAGCAGTACCATCAAAGTATAACTTCCAAGACGGTATGAAGTCAGTGAAGAAAACTTCTTTATCTGCCAATTCTTCTGGTAGCTCCCAGTCTGCAGGGATCGGGTGATTTGCAAAAAAATCAGCTAATGCTTGTCCTTTGACTGCTCATTGTGGAACATAAACTATGTCATATTTAGACAATAGAAGTGCCCACTTTGCCAACCTTCCCTAGAGAATCGGTCTTGACATAATGTATTTGACAGGATCAGATTTTGAAATGAGATGAACAACACAAGTCAGCATACAATGCCTTAACTTCTTTATAGTGAAGACTAATGCAAGACACATCTTTTTAATAGGTGAGTAGTTTAGTTCTGCACCTACTAATGTCCAACTCAGATAGTATAATGCATTTTCATTTCCCTCGTCATTAACTTGTGCTAAGAGTGCTCCTAATGACTGTTCTTGGGTAGCAATATAAAGGATCAATGGTTCTCCTTGAATTGGTGTTGCGAGGACCGGGGGATGAATGAAATATCGTTTTATATTTTCAAAAGCATTCTGACAAACATCATCCAATTCAAAAGGAACACCCTTCTTCATTAGTTTATTGAATGGATGACAACGTCCGGCAAAGTTCAACATAAATCTTCGTATATAAGCAAGTCTTCCTTAAAGACTTTTTAGGTCATGCAGATTGCAAGGCTCTGGCGTCTTTAGGATAACCTCTATTTTTGGTTGATCAATCTCGATGCCTGATAATAAATCCGAGGAACTTGCTAGAGGTAACCCCAAAGATACACTTTAAGGGATTCATTTTTAGTTGACATCTCCGAAGTCGTTCAAAAATGCTGCGCAAATCATCAAGATGATCTTCATGTCTTCTTGTCTTTACAAGCAGGTCATCAACATTGAACCTTTTTGTGTAATACATCATCAAAAATCTTTTGCATTGCACGTTGATATGTGGCACCAGTATTCTTGAGTCCGAAGGGCATCACTCTGTAGCAGTAAACTCCCTTGGGGGTTCGAAATGCAGTGAATTCTTCGTCCTTAGGGTCTATTTGAATTTGATTGTATCTAGAGGAACCATCCATGAAAGACAAGACCTCATGTCCCCTAGTCGCATCAACCATGAGTTTTGTAATTGGCAATGGAAAGTCATCTTTCGGACATGCTTGATTTAAATCTCTGAAATCAACACAAACTCGAATTTGTCCATTTTTCTTTCTGAAAGGTACAATATTAGCAATCCATGTTGGATATTTGACTTCTCGAATGAATCCAACGTCTATCAACTTGTTGACTTTAGCTTCGATCTGAGTGACTAGTTCTGGACGGAATCTTCGTTGCAGCTGCTTAAAAGGTCAAACTCCGTGTTTAACAGCAAGATGATGAACTATAACTTTGGGATCAAGCTCTGACATTTCTTTGTATGACCATGCAAAAACATCTTTATACTCCTATAATATTTTAAAATACTCACCTTCCTCTTGAGGTTTTAGAAGAGCATTGATGAATATTGGTCTTGGATCATCTTCTGTTCCTAGATTCAATTGCTTTAGATCATCAACAGTGGCTTGTCCTCCTTCTTCAAAAGTTGATGGTGCTAGTTCAGGTTCATCGTTAGAAGTTGAGTCTTCTAGTTCTGAAGTTTTATCAATACTCACATGGTTCGCAAAGACAACTTCTTCCTCAATCTTGAATTTATTGATTGGTAAGGAATAAACATTTCTCGAACATATCTGAACCAAGTTTTGAAAAACGATGCAAATTCTCATATTTCCATCCTTCTTTCTCAATGATACGATGTTTTC